GGCTGGCAGAGGGAGGCTGGCAGGCAGGCACGCACAGGGGTTCTGGCGGGGGTGGCTGGCAGGTTCCGGGGGGGAGGCTGGTTGTCACGGGGTGGGGGGGAGGCTGGTGCTTCTGCCTTGTCCATACTCGCCTCAGGCTTCCAGCTGGGCTCCCCACCCCCCGATCTCTGACACCGGGGTCCCCACATTCCAGGGGTGACTGACCCCCGGCACGCGGCTCAGCACCTGGCAGGGCAGTCAGGAGAGGGGGCCCAGCCCCCCCGCCAAGCCGTATGGCCCCCAAGTGACTGGGGCAGAGGGTGAGCAGTCCAGGCCCTCAGGCCAGTCCAGCCGGCCGGGTCCCCCGGGGGCCGACCCCCAGGGTGGATGGGGGGCAGGGACCCACCTTGTCCACCCCCATCTTCTTGAAGGCAGCCTGGAGCACCTTGAAGTTGTGGATGAATTCGTGCTCCAGCTTGGCCTGGAACTTCACCTTGCGCAGGTGCACGCAGCCCGGGAACAGCATGTCCATGAACTGGCAGTAGGCAGCACCTGCGGGCACAGGGCTGCCCACTTTCTAATTGCACAATACCAACCCCCTGCCCCGCCCCTTCTCTGGGGCCCCGCCCCTGCTCACTCCTTCCCCCTCCCTCCATTGCTCGCTCTCCCCCTCCCTCACTCACTTTCACTGGGCTGGGGCAGGGGGTTGGGGTGCAGGAGGGGGCTCAGGGCTGGGGAGGGGGTGGGACCAGGGATGAGGGGTTGGGGTGCAGGAAGGGGCTCTGGGCTGGGGGGTTGGGGTGCAGGAGGGGGCTCAGGGCTGGGGATTGGGGGGCAGGAGAGGGTTCAGAGTCCCAGTGGCACTTACTGCGTCTCCCAGGAAGTGGCTGCCAGGTCCCTGCAGCCCCTAGGCACATGGGCGGCTGGGGAGGTGCCATGCACTGCCCTCCTGCCCGCTGGCGCTGCCCCCGCAGCTCCCATTGGTTGCAGTTCCCAGCCAATGAGAGCTGCAGAGCCGGCACTTGGGGCGGGGGCAGCGTGTGGTGCCTCCCTGGCCGCCCATGTGCCCAGGGGCTGCAGGGACCTGGCGGCTGCTTCCGGGAGCTGCGTGGAGCCAGGGCAGGTAGGGAGCCTGCATTAGTCCCGGGTCCTGGCTGTGCTGCTGCCTGGACTTTTAACAGCCGAGTCGGCAGTGCCAACGGGAGCCGCCAGGGTCCCTTTTTCACTGGGTGTTCTGGTCAAAAACTGGACACCTGGCAACCCTATGCAGGCAGCATGGGCACAGGGCACCTGGCACCTGCCAGGAACGGCCCAGCTCTGCCGACGCCCCCCCAGCCCCTGGATCCCGGCCCTGGGCCCCCCCTTGCCCTGCAGCCCCTGGCAGGGACAGGGCAGGGGTTGGGGACTCAGCCACCCCAGAGGGCACCTCTCCCCAGCTGGGCCAGGGCAGGGGCTGGGCTGGCCAGGGGGCACCTCTCCCCGGCTGGGCCCCTCCTCTCCTGGCCCCTAGAGCGGTCCGGGTCAGGCCTCCGGGCGCCCCTACCTGAGCAGAGCTGTTCGATCTTGGTGTAGTTGAGGTGCAGGGAGTCGTTGACCCAGGCCAGCATGTCATGGCGACTCAGGTTCTCGCTGGTCACGGATGTGGAATACACATTGACGGCCATGCCCCAGCTGGTGCAGAGAGAGACGGGTCATGGCCGGCTCAGCGACCCACCCCCTTCCCCCGGCCCAGCGCCGCTCCCAGTGGGCAGCGTCGGCCTGGGTCGCCTGCCACCCATCTGGGCTCAGGTGTGACGTGTCCCCAGGAAACACTAGGGGGCCCGGGGGCACCGGATGCTGGGCTGTGCAGGGCCACGGGCACACGCAGTCCCTGCTGGGGGCAAAGCATGCCAGGGGCTGGGGGCACACGCAGTGCCCTGCCGGCTCCCCCCGAAAGCAGAACGCCACCAGGCTGCACCCCACAAGGAGCAGCGAGGGGCGGGGGTGCCCACGGAGCCCCCTTGGAAGCAGGCGCTGGGAGCAAGCGCCCCATGCGATGGAAAGGGCCAAGGGATGGGTGAGGGGTGTGCACGGCCGGGTCTCAGCCCTGTATGGCAGCGTATCCTAGTGCCCTCCACCCCACAGCACAGCGCCCCACCCAGCCCCCGCCCCACAGCCCAGCCCCCCACCAAGCCTCTGCCCCACAGCCCAGCCCCCCACCCAGCCCCCGCCCCACAGCACAGCCCCGCCCCGAGCCCCCGCCCCACAGCCCAGCCCCCCACTGAGCCTCAGCCCCACAGCACAGCCCCCCACTGAGCACCCTATTCTCAGCACTGGGTCTGAGGGGACAGCACCCCCTAGTGCAGCGGTTCCCAAGCTGGGGTCTGCAGACCCCAGGGGGCTGCATTGCTTACCAATGAAAGCGACACACCCACCAGTTCTGTTTGCACGACACAGTCCCAGCGCACGAACAACCCCGCGGCGCTCACCACGCTGCACGTTCCCTGTCGCACGAACAGCCCCGCGGCGCTCACCGCGCTGCACATTCCCTGTTGCACAAACAGCCCCGCGGCGCTCACCGCACTGCACGTTCCTGTCGCACAAACAGCCCCGAGGCGCTCACCGCGCTGCACGTTCCTGTCGCACAAACAGCCCCGCGGCGCTCACCGCGCTGCATGTTCCCTGTCGCACGAACTGCCCCGCGGCGCTCGCCACGCTGCACGTTCCCTGTCGCACGAACAGCCCCGCAGAACTCACTGCGCTACACGTTCCTGTCGCACAAACAGCCCCGCGGCGCTCACCGCACTGCACATTCCTGTCGCACAAATAGCCCCGCAGAACTCACCGCGCTACAAGTTCCTGTCGCACGCACAGCCCCGTGGTGCTCACCGCACTGCACGTTCCTGTCGCACTAACAGCCCTGCGGCGCTCACTGCACTGCACGTTCCTGTCGCACTAACAGCCCTGCGGCGCTCACTGCACAAGCGTCAGCGTAAAACACTCACTGCCTGGGACAGCAAATCAGAAGCAATGTCCATTTTTTGCTGAGACGTCTGGCGGTGGAAGTGGAACATATTTGTACCACGTGTGAGCAAATTACATTAAAATGGAGACTTTTTAAAAGGCCCTAATTCTAGTCCTGCTAGTTGTGCTGAAGCCAAGGCCAAGGAGGAAACAGGTGAAGACCAGCCCGTTTGAGGCCAGTGACACTGAGTTTGGTGTTATGGAATTTAGCGATGGACGAGCGCAATGCCTCGTATGCTTACAGATCCCATCAAACTGAGCAGTGAACCCCAGCTCCCAGCAAGGCCCTGCAGTATAAAGATAAATCCAGAGACTTTTTCCAACGAAAGAGCGAGGGATACAATCCACAGAAAACTCAAATGACAAACAGAACATCGGTTCCTGGCAAGGCTCTGAAAGCGTCTTTCTTTCCAGCGCTTCGGCTTGCAGAGTGAAAACTCCCCTGCTGCTGGAGACGAACGGATTCTTCCCGCGGCTGGAGCAAGGGGCCAAGTGCTGGTACGCGCAGCTGCAGCGAAGAAGAAAGGCCAGGCCACTTTGGAAGGACGCAGTGAGGAGGAGAACTGCTGAGACTGTACATGGGAGCGGTTTGAGGCGCCAGCTGCTGTTGGCAATGCAGAGCAATGAGGTCTTGGTCGTTATGTTTGGCTGGGGGAAATACTGGAAGATTTCAGGCGTTACCGGAGCAGCCAACAGGTCGGGAAATGTTCAGCTCACCAGCTGAATGGCTGCACTGGGAGAAGTGCTGCGGTTTGCATGGACGGTGCCGCAGGAGTGGTGTCGTAGCAAGAATCCGCGCCCCAAACCCGCAGGTGACGAACACACCCAGGCCCGTGCAGCACAGAGAACGGAACCCGAATTCCAGCTGCGACCGTTGTGAATTCTGCCACGTCCTGGCCTTGGAATTGCTGCTGTTTTGCCGAGCTGCGGTTGGCACCGGGAGCAGGACGTGACACGCTGCCTGGCTCACGGCAGCATGGCAGGTTCGCACAGAGCTGCTGCGTTTTCTTTCTGTGAACAAGCCCAAGACCGTGGCACCTCTCTGCCCCGCCGAGGAGCGACACTTGCCTACCTCGCAGACACTGGAACTGGCTGAAGTCTGCATCTGAACATGAGCAAACCCTGAGTTCTCTTGCTTAACGGAATCCACTGGCGGATTGGCCGGGCTCTCTGTGCTAACAGCTATTAGCAAGCCTTGTCTCCCTCGGTCAGCCAGGTCATTTGCATCAACACAGACAGGAGCCTGTTCTCCACTTTTCAGATCCTTAACTGCTACCAATTCCAAGGCTGGACTCTGTCTTACAGAGAGACCACACAAATCCAGAGTCTGAGGGGGAGAGTTGGCTTGCTCTCCCCTGCATCCTCAAGCATTCAGCCATCAAACCGTTCTGCTCTGAAACACCAGTAACCAAATCTGTCCTCAGACCCTGAAGCACAGACTGCTCACTTACAGAATCAGAACGGAGACATTCCTCTCTCAACAACCTTGTCTCCCCAAGCTGGCCAAGCACAGCCACTGGGTTATAGGGCTGCTCAACTTTCTGAACAGCTCTTACTCCATCTGAGACCTTCTCAGAGCTACCCACACTGGACCTTTCAAAAGAACAGTCAGTGGATCCATTCACAACAGAACATTTCTGGCTGTTGGGAACTGAAACTTCCTTGATTAAATCACTTTCACACCCTTCAGTTGCAGAAACTGCTTGCAAAGACTGCCAGGAACATTTTTCTCTCCCGTAATCTTTCTAAGCACCAATTCCCCTTTACCGTGCTCCATAGACGCATTGCTCTGCTGAGCCACTACCAACTCCTGAGTTTCACTTACATCCAGAATCACCTCTGGCCCATCTGGCGGATTCCTACACAATCCCCTCTCAGGCAAACTGCTCGATTCCATAGTCACAAGGGCAGACGCATTCTCCTTCCCTTTGCCACACACAAGCTCAGGAATCATAGATTCATAGATTCATAGATTCTAGGACTGGAAGGGACCTCGAGAGGTCATCGAGTCCAGTCCCCTGCCCGCATGGCAGGACCAAATACTGTCTAGACCATCCCTGATAGACATTTATCTAACCTACTCTTAAATATCTCCAGAGATGGAGATTCCACAACCTCCCTAGGCAGTTTATTCCAGTGTTTAACCACCCTGACAGTTAGGAACTTTTTCCTAATGTCCAACCTAGACCTCCCTTGCTGCAGTTTAAGCCCATTGCTTCTTGTTCTATCCT